TCAAGCACTTTATTCCCTTTGCTCTCTTTGTGGCATGGATTCCACAAGATGTTGGAAATATTTCCTTTGAGATTCTGGTTCATGTTGGCATGATTCCATCACATAATTTCTGCAGATTTGTCAACCGCACATTTATGATGTGAAGCTTTTGCATTTAGACTTACCTTTACATAACTTACTTTTATGATGCTTTGATCCCAGGCGACATGCAAGTGAGGGACATCACTAAAGTTTCAGTGCAGTAGGAAACATTCGGATAAATACCACATCTATTTAATAAATGCAAGGAGATCAAGTAAAGAAGTGCACCAAAAGAGCATAGTAAGTGCTTCAAGTGGTCAAGAGATTCTTGAAGATAGAGAGGAACGCACCTGCTCTGGTAGAATTTGGTAGCTTGTTCCACCCATAGACTGTAAATAAAGATGGACGTAGGTTTCTGAAGAGCAGTTTGGAAGCTCATAGTGGGCATATATTTCCATCAGCCTCAGGTGCGAGTGTGTGTGCCTGTACCCATGTACCACTGCTTTGGCTCTGTACTTGGAGGGATGAGTATGGCAATGCATGGTATCAAACTCTGAAAAGTACGACACGCTTCTCATCACCCAAATGACTTACAAATGGAAAGCACAATGCACTTTCACTGACTGCAATGTATTTTTACTCAAGGTGTAATATCGTCTATGGCACTCCCACAATGTTCACTGATTTGCTTAGCCAACCAGAGTTACACAAGTATGACTTGTCATCAATTGAAGCTGGTGAGAAGACCAAAGACTAAAGCTATGTTGTTCTGGATTTGGTTTGATGTTTGGAGCCATTATTATTATTTGAAGCATCCTTATCCATTTGTCGTGCTTTAGGGATCATGGGAGGTTCTTCATGCCCCCCTGAGATTGTGAGAAAACTGAGAACAGACATGAACATGAAAGAGATAATGGTGAGTGCTTACATATCCTCCCCTTATTTTTTTTAATTTTCATTTAAATATATATTATTTAAATACTTTTTCAGCATAAAAGAACATGTATCCATCATTTTCAAACAGACTGGATAGGGAACCACTGAGAATAGCCCCATTACATTTTTGGGATTCCCACAAGACAACGAGGAGCTGAAGATAAATACTGTTGGTTGTATCATGAGCCACACTGAGGTATGCCTCCTCTTTCGCACAAGCTTCACATTTCCATGACAACACTATGACTTACAGTATGGTTGTAACTATAGGCTAAAGTGGTGGACCCCACTACTGGGGAGATAGTCCCTCTAGGCACATCAGGTGAGCTGATGATCAGAGGCAGTTGTGTCATGCACGGGTACTGGGCGGATCCTGAGAAAACCGGAGAGGTTATCTCCCAAGATCGCTGGTACAGGACTGGGTAAGATGAATGTTGACTTATGTCTTTATGTCACTCAACAGAAAAATATGTTTTGTTCAGGGTAGAGATGTATATCTATGTTAGTGGCAAAGAGGTTGTTGCTACAATTTTCCTCTACACAGTGACACAGCCAGCCTGAACAGTCTGGGATATTGCCGTATTGAAGGACGCATTAAGGACATGATCATCCGTGGAGGGGAGAACATCTACCCTGCTGAGATAGAGCAATTTCTCTATACACATCCTAAAGTGCAGGAGTTGGAGGTAAGATTCAAAACCACTCGGGGGCAGCAAAGTATCTTTGAAAATTTGATAGCAGCGATCCACTTATGAAGCTGTAGTTTTGATGCAGTTTTCATGCAGGAACTGCAGTTGAAATCTCTTTTTTTGTTGTTTTTTGTAAACAATACTAATATATTTCACATAAGTTTCATGGAGAGGTCACATTAATCAGCTGTGGTGGCAGGTCCAAATACTAGGTGTTCCATTTCCCAGGTGGTTGGAGTGAAAGATGAGAGGCTGGGCGAGCAGGTGTGTGCTTGCATCAGGCTGAAGGAGGGCCACATCTCCAGTACAGAGGAGATTAGAGCGTTCTGCAAAGGCCAGGTGAGAGTAGGTGATAAATAAAACAAACAAAAGCTCAACAAAGCTATCCTCTCTGGCTGATATTTATTTTTCTTTTTTCTAGATTTCTCACTTCAAAATCCCACACTATGTGATCTTTGTAGACAGCTACCCCCTGACTGTCTCTGGAAAGGTAACTTCTGCGCTAATACCAACACATCAACACTAGCAGGATGATTTATAATTAATCAAAATAAAACTGCGATCGCTGCCATTTTCATTTTTCTAGATCAAGAAGAACATTTTAAAGCAGGATATGGAGAAGAAACTGGGCCTTTAATTTGTGCATTGATGGACACTGAGTCTGGCAGGGGACCTAATGAATTTGGTACCATGAATCAATTTAAAATAATAATATTGTTTAATAAATATATATTTTGTTGATTAAATGTTTATATAAAAATCTAAACTGTCTATAGTACATTATTGACCTTGGTAATCATTGTTTCAGAATAAATTCTTATCACAAAGTGTACCACTGATGATGGTCTCAAAATGGGCCTGGAAGCTCCACAAAAATGTCCAGTAGGTGAAACTAAGATTTAAAAAAAAAAAAAAAAGGTACTGTAAATGATCGTCACTGCCACTAGATGTCGCACTAGACCGCCAGCATCTCAGATCAATGCTATGTCTACCACACTTCTGGCCTATCCCACCCCCCTTCTCTCAAGACCCACTGAAGGCTGCAACTAAACACACAACAAGAAGCACAACTGAATACAGATATCGTGTATATGAGAGCCAACAAACAAACAATCCAGCCACAACCACTAGCCCACGCTTGCATTGCCATGATATACTATATCAATGCTTGCAGATAGACAGCTAGCGATGGCAACATTTGCAGAACAATTCTATTCATAATATGGGTAACAGCAAGTTGGCTAATGTTATCAAGCCTTCTAGCTGGTCACTAATAACAGACTTAATGGATGTTTTGAGGGTCCACCAGCCAACCCGGATTTGAGGCATTAGCCCCCATACTAGTCTGCCTGTGCTCTGGTCTTATCATTTTCTTTGTCCGAGGCCTTTATAGCTGAAAAAGTGGTTTCTTCAGTGGGGGAAATTCTGGAGGGTTGCTTTCACCTGAACACTGCATACTGCACTGTGCCATCTCACCTGTGGGCGGTCCCTGTGTTTATAAATGTGGGGAAGGCCAACAGTTTATCAGGAGGGGCCGAGAGAGACTCACATGCATGCACTACCATACCGGCTACCTAAACAAAGAACAGAGACTCACATTACAACACATATAGAGGGGGTGCGGCTTCGTTCTCTGCTCAGGACACCAATACTGTACTATATCTTTACATAGAAAATAGTTGTTTGCTGCTATATTATTGTTAAAAATCTTATTTACAGAACCTTTAAAGTATATAATCTCTACTTAAACAATAAGCAGTGCAGTGTCTTCATCTCAATCTTTATTTACTTCAACAATTTTGACAATTTGATATCGTAATACAATGGCTTCAACCACTGTACAACAGTAAAACTCATTATTTGAACACATGCCATACAGAATCTGAAATAAATAGGACCTTAAAGCCAAATGTCAGTATGTACAAATGTGGTAGGCAAAATTACCATCCTTACAAGCTATATACACTGAGGGTAGAACACACTTAAGTAACAGGCTCATAGAGTTCTCAAGGTGACATCTCAAATTATTAAATAACTATGAATGCTAAAGGCTTCAAATATGCTTCGAGATATCGAAACGGTGACACAAAGATTCTATTGATGAGGAGACGTCTGTGAGCAAAATGGATTTAGACAAAAATCAGGGATGTAAAATGAATACATTGCCAATATCCAACCTGCTAAAACTCCAAGAGTCAAAGTCAAATTAACAGAGAGTTAGCAAATGTGCTGCATGACACAAAGGCCACACTTTACCATGAATTCACATAAACCAGTCAAAGTTAACAGTCTCAAAAGGTTTCCTTGAGTCTTTTCTGTTTTGTGTATACCTTTGTGTGGATTTTATATTAAAAATCCACCATGGATAATAGCCATTGCATCAGAACGAGGTAAATGAGCCTGTCACAATACTTGAAAAAAAAAAAAAAAATATATATATATATATATATCCACATTAAACATTTAAAAAAAGGCAAAACTGTTCCCTCAAAATGCCAATGGATGTCCAAAGAGGAAAACACTGGACTGCAGCGAAACCTGCGAGGAGCTGTGAGTTTAAGTGCAGGTTTGACCCAGAGGACAGAACCAGCTGATATCTCCAACCATTAACACAAAGACTACTTCCAGATCAATTGCAGCAAGTAGCCAGTAACAAGAGGAAAGACTGCACTATGGCTACATGGCTTTGAACGATCAACATTCACTTCAGTCATGAATATGGGGTCCAACTATACCTCTCCAACCCCACATTACATATGCACACATGCAAAGAAATTGCAAAATAGGAAATATTGCATTTTAAAGCATACTGTGAGATAAATTAGTTAATATAAACACATCCCTTTTTAAATATAATACATTCTAAATTGAAATTAGCTTAACTGTGCAATTTAAGTGAAAATACAGGGGGGAAAAAAAGGCTAAGATGAAGCTGTAGTCTGTTAAGGACCTTTTGTCAGGGATAGTAGTTTTCAAATGAACAGTGGATAGCCACTTCAAAGTTGACAGAAGAAGATAACCACTTCAGAGTTGACATCTAGAGAGCAACACGTTGCAATAACATTCATACGAGCACAGTACAGTACAGCTTTAGGCACATGCAAGTATGTGGTAGGAAAATATGCACAAATAACTGTGCACCTACTCACAGATGCATTAAGAGCTGCAACCTGGAGGCAAGTTAATTGTATAGTCAAGCCTCTCTTCCACACATCAGGTTCAAAAATGCACAATCCCAAACAGGCGCGCACGCACACGCGCACACACACACACACACACACACACACACACACACACACACACACACACACACACACACACACACACACACACACACACACACACACACACACACACTGTAACACACACACACACACACCACTCTTCCTTTCAAACGCCCTCTGTCGCTCTCACACACACATACACTGGTAGCACACAATGTAATGGTCTTTCAAAGTGTCTTCTCTGGCATGGGGGATGCCTCACACACTCAGAGGCAGCATGCCTGGTGGAGACACAGCTCTGGATGATGCCATGGAGGTCAAGGAGCTAGGGTCCAAACCATTAACAGTCCTACAGTTGCCAAGAACATGTATAACATTAGCAAACACAGACACACTAATAAATATGCATAACAACAGGTATAATACACCAATTATTTTTCTGCAAATTGGAGCTTTTATGCAAGTCCCTGTTCATTAAAAGGTGTAACGGGTTTACTCACGTTTTGTCGAAGTAAGAGGTATGTAGAGAGTGAGAGAATTTGGTGGCATTGCTGTTGATAAGTTTGCTGTTGTCAGTGGAGTAACTTTTTCTTGCTGCCTGGTCTTTGGCAAAGTTCCTACAGGCCGCGAGTTTGGACTCCAAGGCCTAGTGACAAAACAAAAAACACAATGTGTCTTTAGCCTCAGTTCTAGCCTTAGTTTGTTCTATGGCTGATGAGACATTGCTCCTCAGTGTTCTGCAACCTATTCAAAATAATAAAGCACTTTTTTGAGTTTACTTTGTCAGCCCTAAAATACTGTACATAATGATGCTGTGTCCAAAAAGATATACATATTAAAAAAAGTTAATTTTTCATTTAAAGGAATGGTACCTACCCCAACTTTCCTCAGGAGATCACCAACAATGTTAAGAGCTGATATTCTAGCAGAAGGAGTGAGGGATGAGCTGCCACAGCCATTGGTCAAAGCTAGATCATACAAGCCCATATTAGTACACATAGCAGTTCATTTTCCATCTCCAGTGTGCAAATATAAGAGTGAGATTAAACCTGACCTTTTGAGCTGATGAAGGGGTGCTCTATGCTCTTTCCTACTGGCGTGGCTGGGAGGGATAAAGAGGCCTGTACTGCAGAATCTATCTTGTCGGTGTCTAAGGTGGGTGAGCTGGGTGCAGACATCCTATCTGTAGTCCGCTCCCGTACTGCCAGCTCCTGTCTCAGGTCTGCAGAGGACAGAGTCAAAATCGTGAAATACTCCTCCATTAACCCTTACACACAAGCCATATTGCCTTGAAAAAGGGCAGAATGGATTTGCCTGTGCTTTGTCTTTACCTCGTGCTTCATCTTTCAGCCGCTGCACAGACACAAGAAGAGACTCCTTCTCGTCCAGCTCACTCTCTAGGAAGGCATTTCTCTCAATGGCCTGGTTCAAACGGCCCTCAAAGTCCTCAAGAGACACTATTGTAGCCCTGCAAAAAGAAAATGATGGGAACAACTGTTAGTATCTTTCCTTTTCATTACTGTAGCTCTGAATACTAGAACAATCGCACAAAAACCAGAATCTGATAGTATGTTATAAATCAAACAAATCTAAATATCTACTCTTTTGTCTTGTCTCTTTTGTCTTTTGTCAAAGATGTTGTGCTTTTTGTTACACTCTGCTACAATACTGTATACACTTGTGTCTCTCTGACCTTTTGGCTCTCTCCAGGTCATCATTAGCCTGCTCAAGCTCACGGACATATTTGTGGAGCTGCTCCTTGATGCTGCGAGTCTGGCCCAGGTCATCCTCCAGCATTGAGATCTGTTTATAACTCTGGGCATACTGCTGCTCCAGCTTCTCCTGATAGAGATGGACAGAGTGAGGAAGAGAAAAGAGCTTGGGGGGTGAGTGTATGGAGAGACACAAGGATGTCAAAGAGACCTGTTGTTCCAGGTAAAATCCGATTTCATTTCCTTTTACAGAGGCATTTAGTGTGAAAATACCATTTGCTATTTTATGTACAATGCAATAGTCATTAACAACAGTAGGGGAAACCTGATGAACCATAACATCATAAGCTAGTGAAGATGTTCTTCCACTTTATTTCACTTTCAAATGGCCTCTTTGTTCCCTGGACAGTCCCTGTGGCTCATTTGCTCTGGGGTACTTTATAGTTAGTCAGTGGCAGGGGCGCATGGCTGAAATGTGGCTCCCTGAGGCACAGAGACAGGAAGGCATGATTCACGGCCTCTCTAGTTCATTCACACAGTTTGTTTTTAGCATTAGCTGCAGCAAGCATGCTCACATGTTGGGCCATGTAAAGAATCACAATCCTTTTCTGCTGAGTGTACAGTAGCTACGGCAACATCCTCAACGTATATAGCCTATGGCAATTTGCTCAACAATGTACACCATCATGAAAGGATCACACTGAAAATTCTGACTAGTGGTGCTGCTTGCTGTGATTAAGAAACCAACTTGTCCTTGCAGTTTTCTATTTTCTTCCTGCTTATCCTGACATCCAATTAAGGAGTGCTGAGGGATTACCTAAGGGCATGCCTTATTAACACCTAGCATACAAATCAGACATTGGACCTTGTCCTCAGGATCTAACAGATCACATAACCTCTTAAGTAACCAAATTACTTTATTAGTATCCTAACCTGCAGACCTTAAATGCAAGCCAAATTCCAAAACAAGCTTCACAGCAAGTCAACAGGCACAGTTACCTTGAGGTTGGCCACCTCGTTCTTCAGTCTCTCGTTTTCAGTTTGTAGATCTCGAAGGCGGTGTTCAGCCTGGCTGAGCTGTGCCTCCAACTCAGCCTCCAGTTCACGGCTCCCCTCCTGGAACTCCTGCAACTCCTCCTGTGCATCATGGCAACTGGATGGTACACAATGGGGAAAACATAAACAATCATTGTCAATTACCAGCCACCCTGTTCATCGTCCACCATTCAATTGTGTTGAGCTGACTGGCTGAATGACCATGAGCTCTAGAAAACCGACAGGCTTTTGTCCTGCAAGATGAGCCAGGCTCAGGCATGTTCTAGTAGCTTTATGTCCACTGGCCAGAAATAAACCTGCATGAAAAGCCAGTCAGATATTTGTAGATTTTTAACCTTCAATCCTGTCTCTGCCAAACAGGAAATAGTGTGCAGCTCAGCATTGTCGAGTTAAGCATTCTAAATATACAGCTCTAAAGAGACAGCTGAACTGTGACAGTAGGCGGTTCAGAAGTAGCTCAGAAAAACAGACCTGCTGTCATGTGTCCTCAGCTGTAGAGGGGGGTTAAAGGTCAGGGGTGAGCAGAAAATGAGAGGGCAAAGAAACAGGATGAGGATAAAGGCTAAGGAACAGGATGTGTGTACACGCTGGTCAGCACTGACCCTTCATGGGGAACCTTTGGGAAAAACACACAGGATAATTTATTACTTAGTTTCTGCTATGTGTATGTGTGCGTATATCTATGTAAGTATCTCAATGTAGTGTAGGATGGAGAACTAATTTGAGTTTGATGGTATTATCTCTGAATTGAAGTAATCTAAATTGACCCTAATTATTCCGCCTGTTGTGGTTGACACTATGGTTTACCCTGGCCTGAGATCAGCTGACTTGTGCTGGGATAATGGCCTCTCAGTGGCTCTACACAGCAGTGGAATCCATGAATCAGTTGTTGTGTCGTGCTCGTTCCACACATACCAGCACCACAGAGGCTGCTTCATCAGCACGCTGGGCACTATAACCTCCCTGTTTAACCACACAGACTTGTCCTCCCTGACGTTTTTCACGGTTTAGAATGACCAGCAGAGCACCATATGTGTGGCACAGTGCAGCATTAAATAACTGATTGTGAGAAAACACAAGTTCATTTGACGTTGTTTTAGTGATGACTGAAGACTGTATGGTTTCCAAGTAGCCTGGTGGCAACAAAATGGAAGAAGTCAGATCACTTCAGAGAGATAACTTCTCAATAGGTAACTAATAAACACAGCATGTTGGCACTTTGAATGGATTACTGTAAAAGTGATCCTGAGAAAATATACTCCCCGAAACATGTGTGAGACAAGCCATGGCTACTATGGGCTATACTTAGTTATTTTTTCCACGGGTTGATGTTTTTTTTCCCTACAGTATGTACCCACAGCAGGAATTTCTTAGAAAACCACCAGAACTTTAACCTTCTCTGTACACTTCCAGGAGAGAACGACGGGCCCCAGCACCACTGCTGCCTATCCCAACATAGGCTGTGGTCTCTGTTTAAGAAATCAAAGATGTAGTCATTTCCTTCCGAGTAAGCCACAGCTGTTTGTGGGCACCGATTTCAAAACGCTTGTCTGGTCATTTGCCTTATATGGCTAAACCCAGTCTTTCTCCGCTGAAACTTTTAAACAGACAAAACTACAGACAAAACTACACACTCGGTAAATGAGCATCTGCCTATTATATAAGAGTGAGTATCTACAACTCTTTAAATAAAGTTGTGTTACTGCAGCTCAGAGTTTTGAATGTCTTCTGAGTGTGTTAATTTAATATGGGCGACTGCTGCCATCTGATATCTGGTTCAAAGTTCTGGCAAGACAGATCACAGAATAAACAATGACACATTGTTACATAACCCTCTTTTCAAGAATGAACTTAGTAAGCAAAAAGCTGAGAACACAATAGAACATCTAGTCTATGTTTGCGTGTACAGTGCACTGTGAATGATTTTAACATGTTAAACATGGATAAAGAGGTTATGCTACGCAAGTCAGCTCACACAGCAAAGAAATTTAGTATAGACATTATCCAGTCACATGAGAAGGAAACCATGTGGCCTACCTTTTCTTATATTTGAGGGCTTGTGACTTCCAGTAATCAACTTCCTCATCCTTTGACGAAAATTTGGGAATCATCTCTGTGTCCATGTCAGGGCACCCTGAGGATTAAATAGACATACATATTAGTCTCACAGCCATTTATATGAGCTAAGAGTGTACAATATATGAAAATAATGCAAGGCTGGTGCTATGTAGGTTACAAGAAGGCCAAGCATTTAAAAATAAATTAAAAGGTGTCTCAAACATGGTCCATCACTTTCATGTCTGTATCCTTTGGCATGTAGAGTCAGGTACAGTGCATTCACTTCTTATCTCAGAGCTGAACAACCAGACAAATCAAGATTAAAAATTCCCCTCATTCCTCACTGGGGAAGATAACAGAACAGACTTCTCTTTACCCGAGCGGCCCGGCCATGTCATCCTGTAGCTGAGGTCATGTCATCCTGAGTTACTCATGAATCAGTGACTCTACACTCTCCACAGCCTCTGATGAAAATTTACTTACTGAAACAAACCGACTGAGTGGCCGACATGGAAAGCCTTTCTATAACTTGATGACTGGCCCCAGTAAAAGAAGGCCTCATTGATTCTTCAAATTTCTAACCTCATTACAGCTCAACTCATGTGTCATGTCAACATAACAAATTCATTAGCAGCAATCCATGCTAATTGAGTGTGACCAACACCAAGTAGATCAAAGCTGCCTGTTGTAGCTTAACTCTGAAGTTTTGATCAAGTGTAAATAGGTTTGCTTCCTTCCTGTTAACACTTTACTAGACGGCTGTTCCTCTTTTCTGGTGAGCTACTAAACTCTGCCACCCTCTGTGATCTATGTGGACCTACAAGGAAGGTCTCAGGAAATTATTAAACACATCTGGAAAGAGCTGCTGAGTGTTCTGTGTGTGTGGAGGGGAATCCACCAGCTGCCCCCAGCACGATCATTGCTGTAGCTCCAGGAATATTTACAATCCGACTTGAGCTCATAAGGATTTCCTGCAGATAGGTTATTTATAAGGCTTGGGCAATTTGGTTTGACTGTTGTCAAAACTGTACAAAAAGTGGTTATATATATATATATATAAGGAAATCTAGTGGCATATGTTACTGTAGCCATTATTATCATACTTTAGCAAGACTAGCCTGGGTTGGGCTTAGACAAGGCGGAGGATATGTTATTTCCCTTGCCAAGAATAAGATGGTCTAGACTCGGAGGGATGGAGCCTCAGAGGCAGGGCCGCCTGCTCTTCCCCTTACACATTCCTCTGAGATGGCGTCATCAACAATTTACTCGCTGCAGGCCCCTCACGTGTCAGTACACTACTCTGGAAATCACAAAGGAAACTGGAGACCAAAATAGAGAGAGCGAAATGTTCCAAACCTACTACTGACATAACATGTTAGTTGTATTATATGACCAAGGAGAGCTTCAAAATCTCTCCACGGCAAACAATCTGAAATATTTAAACTCCAGGTAATCTAGAAAACATAGCAGATCTCTATTTATTTTGATGCTGTATGTGATCTGGTGCCTCCTATTGATCCCCATGGGTCTCCAAAAGGCATGAGGGACAGGAAACTATTTCCATGAGGATTCAGATCAAAGGCCTAAACAGGATAAACAACACCTCAAATTATTTATTAGCCCACTGACCAGTGATAGGGTAGTTAAATCAAATGGGCCAATAGAGGTATACCCTTACCAATGCTATTTCACATATTCAGGACAGATGAGGACAAACTGCCACTGTAATGGTAACATAATACATCACTTAAAATGAGATGAAAAGCTTAAGCTACATCATGTAATGGGACAAGTACCAGAGTACATGACTCTCTCATTTCAGCCTCCTTTGGAGCAGTGTCAGTTTGACCCCTGGATCTATTTGTCTGTTGCAACAATACCAGGACAGGCAGGGCTCATAGCCAGCAGACCTGGTGATGGTGACAATCCACTTACTGCAGGGACATCTGGAAATTACAACCAGGGGAAGGTAGTCAAGAAGAGACAGTTTCCTTTCCCACATTCTTGTCTCTACATCCTCTTTTTACAGTAGATGACATCGTGCTTACTAAGAATTTTACGCGCTGACATTGACGTAGTCACATTTCTATATTTAGGATCCAAGAGAGGAGGATAACAAATACTTTTTCGAAAATGACTTATTGGTTGGCTCTAATGTAAACAATCAGACATGCAAGTTCAGCAAAAACTAACAAAAAAAATTAAGGTGAACATTTAAAACCAACAGCAGGAGGCTTTACTGTAAAAATGACAACTGACATTCATTATAAATAATTGGTTGATAATTTACAGCGAACATACGCATTTTTACAAAACATATTAACTCAAACATCCCTGAAAAAATGAATACTAACATGTTACAGGTCAGATTTAGCTTTACAGCGGCAGGTCGCTAATTCAAAAGCTGCTATCAATGTGGCGACACCTGATATTGCGTGGTTTGACAGACAGTACAGAGGCTTAGCTTAGCTATCAAACAGTGTGCTCTATCAAAAGGAAAGCAGAAAGTGGGAGACATAAAAAGTCTAAGTAAATATGAATATGAAAGTGTTAATTATATGTATGGCACATGAATCAAAAATCAAGGCTGAAACCGAGCGCCTCGGTAAACTCACAGGAGCCTTAACTGGGCACGACATCACTACACCAACAAGTCAAACGTTAAACACACCGAAACTGAGTAAATGGACTGTAAAATTAAACTACCTGCTCATGTCAAACGGTGTCCAACTGTCTTCTGTTTCAGCAGGTCGTTTTCAAGCCCGTGTTACATCCAACACACACACACACACTCACACACACCTTCCCCCTGCCCTGGCCTCGGTTGACGCTGAAGTGACTGTGCTGTGTTTAGGAAATTGCCAACGCGTCTCCCGGAAGCTACGTAATCCTGACATGGACGTGCGCGGTGACGTAATTCTAGGTTACGTCAGAAATGGGTAGGGCTACTATAGAACCAGATCTACTAGATGTGACATAAAGACATTAGACCGCGAACCATTTATAGGAGCTCTACACATAACAAATTCTAAAATACAATAATGTACATATTGAATTGCACGAACAGAGAAAGATTTAGTTGTCAATTTATACTTTAAACTTTTTGTTAATGATCTCATAATATATTGTGAAATATGTTTTATTACAAATGTGATAATTATAATGGAAAAATATTTATTGAAAATGTTTTTCTAAAAGATTACAAATATACATATTCTTTTGGCATATTTTATAAACTCTAAAATTTCATAAAATTTAGAGTACAATTGATCATGCTATTATAACTACAATTTTGAAAACACTTCAATCTTTATGATTTCTTTATTTACTCTATTTTCTTTTTACTGTCTTTGTCCTTGTCCATCATATTTTTGTTTTCCCCCATTTGTGAGACTTAAAGGTGATATCCATTTGCAATGTTTAATATTTGGACTGTAAATAAAAGCTAAAAAAAAAAAAAAAAAAAAAAATAGATCTGCTAGAATCAGCCGCACCTTTATTGGACTAGATTGTAGATTTGTAGCAACATTGTTTTCACTGCTTTGACCACAAGGTGGCATATGATGTTAGGTAATAAACCACCACACATGGTTGGGGAACATCAGCCTAACATTTTTAGCCAACCCAATAGTTGTCTATAAATCAAATTTTTTAACCAATGTTAGTTTTGTACCGTGATGGTTTTATATTCTATATTCATGAATGGCTTACTCCACTGCAATCTTTCTTTTTTGGAAGTAGGTATATTTGTCCCCAGTAAACGTATCTCAGAGAAGACATTAGACCAAAAAACAAGAAATAGGCTTTTAAGTAGCATTGATTCGAAACTGTTAATGTGAAATCAAACTTACAAGATGCCGCTTTGAAAAATGTTATGTTACCAATCTTCAAAGAAAGCCAGGATAAATGACCTTATATGAAGAACATGGAATGTGAACCAGCTCTGCACTTGAACTGCCAATAATGCTTTCAGGGGGCCCAATCAGTCAAGTGACTGCAGCCTCAGGTGGCAGGCCCTGTTTGACAAGGCGCCACTCCCGCCTCCACTGACAGCCGAAAGTAAGGAAAGTCATGCGCTGATGGAAACATCACTTGGAGAGGACTTCACACCACATTTACCAAGCAGTCTAATTTTAGACGGAATAATTACGCTATTAGCTCAACTCTCTTGCTGCAGTTGTTTTTCCTTCTATGGCATTTTACAAGGACGATGGCCAGGAGGACGCGCGAGAGTGTCCAGTGTGCTATGAGTGTCTGTCGGGCGCTGAAAGGACTCTGAGCTGCGGGCATGTATTCTGTCACGACTGCCTGGTCAAAACGCTGGTCAGCAGCGATGGAAACATCAGAGACACGATCGTTTGCCCTATCTGCCGACATCTCACGTTCATCAAGAAACAAAAGGAAGCGCTGGGGTCCCTTGCGGCGGACAAGGATCCAAATCCAGATGAAGCGCAGACCCTGGAGGTGCCTCTCCCTCTGTCACTGGGACAGCTCCAGGGCGCACGGCGCGCCTCGTGGAACAGTTCACTTAGGGGAGTTAATTGGATCGTTGACCTGTTCAGGGGGATCTCTGAGCGAGTCCGTCGACAGCGGTTGATCAGCCCCAGACATACTGCATCTCAGATCTTTATCATAAGCGCTCAAGGGCGACCCATGGCTGAAGAAGATGCGCTCAGTGTTGTGATGACTGTGGTTCAACCCCAGCGCAGGCGAAGGCGCAGGATTTGCACAACTGCACGATGCCTCCTCGTTTTACTGTCAGCCTTTACCATACTGGCACTGGTGGCTGCGACTTTACCCTGGATTTTGTTGGCATAGTACAGTGATGTGGGAGTCTGGATTATGAAGTGCCAATGATGATGATGAATGATGAAATGACATTTAGAGAAAAAAACTCTCCTACACAAATCCAAATTTATCCATCAGCTATCCAATGAAGTGTGTGAAACTGGACTTGCCCGATCAAAAATAATCTGAGCATCAATGTAAAACCAATCTGCTGAAAATGTACAATTCAGGAAAGATATATATCTTAGTTTGCAACATGATTTTAAAGATATGATCAGGCATTGTCATTGCCCTCCCTGGTTTTAGGGAAAAGACAGGGAGTTTATTGGCATGCCCACCTCTTTTATGTGTATTACCAAGCAACAGTCAAGCAAAGTAAAGGTTGGAAAAGCCCTGACAGCTAAGCCTTTTGTTTTGCATTCCTGTCTGTGACAAGTTCTACCTGTTTTCTGAAAATGCAAGAAATGCAGGAAATTATAACGATATCAACGCACATCCGAAAACTTCTGAATTCAATGAGAGTGGACATTTTGGAGATCTAGTTTAAACAATTTAAAAAAAGGGTTTGTGAGAAAAAAGGCAATAAAAACTATTTAACCCTATAATCCCAATGCTGTTCAAGCAGTTCAATTCATCATTGTGTTACCCTGTTGTTGGATACCCTGTTTCCAAGCAGCAGGCAATAACTTTGCAAAGGCTGCAAATTGCTTGGTTAAGTGAGGGAGCAAAGTGTCGGGTTGTCACGTTGACAGACCTTCTCTCCTTACATCAAAGTAGAGGTGTCAGACATAAAAAAAAAACAAAAAAAACACACTCTCATACAATTTCCATTTAACACCCTTAAACCTGTAAAAAAGTGTTTAATTGGCAGATAACTGGATTGAGCTAATGGCTGTATTTAGCCTTTCAGTAACATCCTTTACAGCAGGTGAGTTGCTTCCCTTGCAGTGTGTACAAAGACGCTGTAAACAGAGTCACCTTCAAAACTTTCAGTCAGAAATAATTGATGCTCCCATGACAGTCTGAAGGAGAGAGACTAGCAGGTGGGATGAGCTGAGCCTGGTTGGTTGCTGTAAGGAGATACACTGCTGCTGCACTGCAGCGTTAGATTACCACTGAATCTTTACGAATACAGTTCTCTGAGACAGCAGAGAGGGGGTTGTTATGGTTATTTTGGCAAAAATGAGAACAGAAATTATGTAAAAAAAAACAAAAAAAAACAACTAAAAATAAGATAACATGCCAATCAATTTCTTGGAGATAAGTCTAATGTCAATTGCTCTTGGGCAGAGTTAAATCATTTTTACAACATACCTATGTTGCACTTGCTGTGTATTATGTAAGAAATTAAAGATTAGTTCTCTATCAGAGGCATCCTGACAAACTTTGACACTCCTAGTTTCCTCCTGTGGCAAGCCTTCAGTCATCCTGCCGGGCCAGTCCTACTGGTTACACGCTTGAAAAGGTTTCTGCTTTTCAGCTTCAACTTGGTTTCTCTGAGTATGGGAGGACGATAACAATGACTAAATCCATTTGATGAGTCAGACTTTTTAGGTCCAGTTTGTGGCTTGCATGTCAGTGCATGGACCCAAATCAACCCTAAAGCCATGGTAAAGAGATAAGAGCTGAAAAAGTAGTAGTAGTACAAAAAGTAATGCTATAGGAATTTATTCAGGTCAAATCATGGTCGTGAAAAATGCTCAGTGAACCAGCTGTTAGGTTTCTCCATATTCTCATGCTGTTGTATAGATTCCCAGAATTTAGGCAGTGGTGGAAGAAGTACTCACATGCTTTACTTAAGTAAAAGCGTCAGTTCAACTGTGTGCAAATACCCCATCACATGTAAAAGCTTTGCATTAAAAATCATGCTTAAGTGAAAGTACGGATGTATTATTAAAAAAATGTACTTAGTAGTACCATAAAAGAACCAATTCTACAATAAAATTTCCCTTGTGAAATCATATTAAATATAATAATAATAATGGGTTAGCACAGAAGCTTTTTAAATTCTTCTAATACCACAAAATACATCTGAGTGGTTGTAAGATGAAGAAAAAACAAGGTTGAGATACCCAAATCTGTTATGTTCTTACTTTTAGTTTAGGAGTTTGAAGGAGAAACGTCTGCTAACACTGCCTTTATTAAGGCTATTTTCACTTAAACTGTGACACTTTATGGGCAAACACATGTAACAGTTCAGTCATCAGGATCAACTGTCCAATAAAAAAAAAAAATATATTTTTCTACAGAAATATAAAAAAACAGAAATAAAACCCACATGAACCAGGTGACATTATTAAAAATGTAGAGTTTAATATATATATTTATTTCTGACATTCTGATAAGGATTGCAGGTAGGCTTCACAGTACACACTGTGTTCCACTTGATATGCTAAGCAGAGGAGGAAGGGGTGGGCATGGTGGGCTTGACAAGCGGCAGGTTTTTGTTTGTACACTAGTAGTGAAAGCAGAAGGAGGCAGTACATCCACAGGCAACATCCACTCCTCTACCGTATTGCTCACAAAGGACCATTCATCGTGATCCACATTCTCTAGAGTCCATCACTACGTTTTATTCATTACCCCTCTTACAATCCCTAAAAAGACAGTGATTGACACAAAACGTGGATTATCAAAAGACTATCTAAGCGCATGCATGACACTTTTTTCAGATTTTCCTTTTTTTCTCATTTAAAATCCCCCCCTCCCGACAAAATGTAAACAAATTGAGCTTTACTTGAGACCAACATACTCGGTGGTGAGGTGAGATAGGAAATATAGGCCTACAGTAGTTGAAATGCTTGATAAAACTATGTAACAGTGTAGTCTTAGGTGCAAAAGGTGGCTCTGATGAATATGCTCTTGAAAACAGCCGTAAAGTTCATTTACTGGCTGAAATTAGATATGAGATGAAATCATGATGTTTTTGGGGGAGGATACAGACATTTTTTTTCTTTTCAGCAGCATAGTAATCACACCTATAATGAATATGAATGCATGCTTTTAGGTGGCTGTAAGTTCCAGTTATGATGCACAAAAGCATTACAGTAATACTGCCCTGTACTGGTAATAATACAAGCCAACAGGCCCAAATTAACCTTCATCCAAAAACTAGCTTTCATTCATCCTGTTAGGTATTAGAAAAACAGGTATACCCTACCGTTTGAGATCTGAGTGAGTCACATTCAGAGATACCCCTGCCTCCTCGTATAAATGTATGGATCCAGCACAGACAATTAAACCTCTAGTACACATTGATTATGCCTATAGTTCCAAAAATAACAACCAGTGTAAGAGGGCACTTGCAATTGTCAAATAATCACCACAGCTATCAATATAATTATCAACATCACCAAAAATCTTCATAAACATAGTCCATTGAGAACACACACTGAGGCATACCATGGATCACTTTTGGAGAGAGGTTAATCTAGAATTCAGTTTGTAAGAAGTTAACTCACGCACACACACAACAACAAAAAAACAAAAAAACAAAAAACACAAACTTGAAAAGAAAAAGAAATGATAATTGCTTTGCAATAAAATTAATGGCTTTTTTTCTGAAAGTTTGGGAAGGGTGACTTTGACCACTTTTTGAACTGAGGTGGATCAGTAAACACTGTAATTGCACTTAAATTGACAAAATCATTGTCCTAAGACATTCTGTATTAAATTAAAAAAAGTGACACTGCAGCATCTGTTATCTGATGAATTTGAAACACCTCTAATTACTGTGGTGAGAATACCAACAATTTAGACAGTGGTTGACTACACATTAACTTTTGATTAACTTAATTGATTAAGCAATTATTTTTACGTTGTTGTAGTCAGTCTAACAATATAAGCTTAGGGCTATACATTTAGCCTCATTATGGATTCATTAAATGGTCCAAGCAGGGTCAAAGTGATCTACTTATTTACACAGGAATCTATTAAATATTAAATAACTGATTAAAAAAAGAAGAAAAGATAGGACATTGGTCTGTAACTCATTAGTGTCGTCTGAAGTCAAAGAAGCAAAGACAGAATTAGAAAGACTACGATTGATTTCTAGCAGAAATAACATTCTGCATTTCTGCTGCAGCATCGTCGTTACCTGGTGTCAACGTGAAAGATTATGAATCTACAGTAGACCTGTTCATTGTGTGCAGGGACAAAAATAACATCAAATTTTTAATCATTACATTTTCTACACATGATAAATATCAGCACATATATTATTATTATATATATTCAAGATATGCATTTTACATATACTTTCCTCTCAGATTTATATACATCAATTTATGTACAGTCTTTGTATTTACACTAGGGGTCAAAGGTCACTGAACCTGAAGCACTTGAAACAAGGTTAAGAGAGAGAATCATATGAACCTAAAGGCAGTGTAGTCATCCATCCATTATCATCAAAACTGTAACAGCACGTGGGTGGTGTAAATCTACTCTCCAAGGACAACAACAACAACAAAAACACTCACACAAAATAAAACACTGCCACTCTGAGGCCCTTCCGTCATCTTGGCTTGTCATGCAAACACATCTTGGTGCTTTCTTCACAACTGAAAAACAGGTGCAAGTTCAAAAACTTCAATTTACAAGAACATTCTTCTCATACTGTGCTGGTATAAAGTGAGTTAAAGTGAGTTCACCTGCATAAAGGTAAATGTCAGGTAAAGAACTACAGTTGTAATGTGTGATAGAAGAGGGGAAAATCAAAACGGGGTACGACAATAAGAATCAACACTGCATTAAATGTTTTCATCTTGCATGCGAAACCTGCCGGGCTCAGCGTTTCCCTAATGTGCACAAAGCTTGAATACCCTGTGAGAAATATAACCAGATTACTCTCTGTCTCTCTGTTTCACCCTGAGGATGGGCTTTGCTCCTAACCATGTCAGGATCTGAGTTTCCCTAACCAAAAGTTGTACAACTCATGAATATCATATTGCAATTTGATTGCATGTTCGAATAAGGCAAAAAGAAACTGAAAAATGCACAGAAAATACAGACCACTGTATCAAATAACAAAGATAAACAAAGCAAAGCAAAAAAAAGAAAAAGAAACTGAGAAAATCATTTAATGAAATACTCATCTATATTCCAGTCTTTCCTCCTAAAGGCAACTGTTCCTCCACTATGGCATTTTGGTGTTTTTTTTTTTTTGTAGTCACATTTATGTACTAGCGAGCAATTGTAAGAGATGAGTTTCTTTGCAGCCTGTAGCAGATGTGAGGGAAGGTTCAAGTTCTGGTTTCAGGTGGGCATTGGTGAGGCCAATTGGTGTTTCCATCAGGCCTTGGCGGCGACAGTTAAGAGTATGTACAGCCATAGGGGTGCTGGTAAGCTGTGATGCCTTAGGGTCATAGGTCATAGAGTGGTGCTCTGGGGCTCCTCCTCAGGCACAGCGTCCCCCTCTGGAGAGTCTGTCACTGCGAGGGACCTCCTGCAGGGGGCACCGCTGAACTCATCGATGAGGCTGTCCAGATTGACATTGATGGAGGGGATTTCATAATTGAAGATATCTAATGGTGAGCATGGTGGGAGAGGTGAGTATGGTGAGCAGAATGGTGGGAATGGCGATGAAGAGCAAGAGAAGGAGGAGAAGAGGGGCGTATGATGATGATAATGAGGTGTAAAAAACGGAAGAGAGCAGAAATAATATTAATCGTTTTGAGTCTGAACTCATGGTAAGTGGCATATGATGTCTGCCCTGATTGAAGGAATCAGTAGATTACATGTGCTTCACATTCTACACAGGGATGTTTCCAATGTGTCGCTAGTCACACCGGAACAAACTTGCTAACGGCTAGTGTGGTGTGTCACAACTTCTTGTGTCTTTTGAGACAACAACAACAGATACTGTCAGGTAAAATACAATAACAGGTCAAAATGACTACACAATGACACAGTACTGTACACGTTTACAACAATGGCCGGTTAACCAACACAGAGGCAACAAGATGTGTGTGGAACTCTGTGGAAAAATGGCACCAAGACACCAAGTGCACTTGAAGTAACGATGGGAATCTCATGAGGACTGGATATTTGCTCTAAATATAGATATATTCTCAAACGCTGCTGCATTTACTGAGAGCAGCAGGTCCAAGCAGAGACTTGAAGACTACTCCTGTGTAGGAATGAGATGGAGCGTGGCAGTGTAGTAAGAGGGAGCAGAGGTTATAAAAAGCGATGAACCTGCCAAAGGAGGATTGGGGGTTACCTGTGGCCCCCTGGTACCGGTGGCAGGAGCGTTAGAGGGGGAATGTCTGCTGGCATAGGGCTGGGAATGGGGAACGAAAGGAGAAGGGGGGAGGGGGCTTTAAGATGGACCTTTATAAGCGACGGCGTCTGCAATGTGAGCGCAGTGTGGTGCACTCTGGGAAGTCCTTAAGCCATGCATTATTGGTTGAACCGCAACACCATGCAAAGAGTCAATAATGTCAACCCGCTAACAGGGAATTAGGGAGAATGTTCTGATTGAGAGCTACGGGTGGGTTTGTTTGAGGCAGGCTGCAGGAGACCCCAGAGGCAGCCACAGCACGAGGCCAGGCAGTGAGATGGAGCGCATGGGGCGGGGGCGGTCTGGCTTACCCTAAAAGTCCCCCTCACACTTAGCCCACACTGAATCCCTGGCCTCACACAGCTGCAAGGTACACAATAGTAGCAGGGGGAACAAGAGAATGATAAATATAACAAAGTGACAGAATGACTGGTATATATTGACAGAACACCTCATCATCAGAACATCATACTGTAGATATAATGTGGGGTTTGTCTGGCTAGGTTTCCACGCCTGCTACGCAGTAAGAGAGACTGGACTGGTGTGAACTGTGTAAGCCTCTGACCTACCTCTGCCGAGTGAGGGTCTGGGTAACACAGATAAACAGAGAGCACATGATGAATCTAATGGCAACTTCCATACAAGCAGGACGAGCTATGCTTCTCTGATGTTTCCACACATTACCCAGAAACATCATCACATAACACAAGCAATGAGTACATAGGTCAGGAGGTTTGCTCACTACGGTAGCACAAAAATGCTAATATTTACATTGTATCATTGTCAGGCATCTGTGTCTAAAAGGCAACTTTTATTCATTCAGACATTCGTTTGGGAACAGTCAGTAAAGGGGACAGGGATCTTTTATATCTACAGTGACAAGTCCTACAGAGTCCTACACTCGTCCACCGTCTCCATTGGACAGAGCCACAGCGAGTCTGAGAGAGGGCCGCTGCAGCCCCACCTGTGGTGGTGGCGGGGGTGTTGTTGCCAAGGGCTGATGTTTACCTGTAGACATGCTCTCCCCAGGAGACAGTCCATCCAGGAGACCCTGCTCCAGGGGCTGGGGAACTGGGGCCGTGGCCAGGCCAGAGAGCCCCGGAGGGGCTGTGGGCGGCTGAGGAGGGGGCAGGCTGGGTCTCTGCCTGGGCTTAGGGGTGGGCCGAGACTTGGTGAGCGTTCCGGTCAGGGAGGGAGGGGACGAAATAGAGTGGGGCGCCCCCAGTGGGGTCTGCCCAGGGGAGGATGGGGGCACTTGCCCTGGAGGGCAGGCCAGTCCATAAGGGGAGGGGGTGCTAGGGGGTGTGGGAGACAGGCTGACCGGTGACGGCTGACCTGTGGACTGGTCGGACATCCCGCCAGACTGGCCATAAGGGACCTTGGGAGGCACAGGGGCCAACTTCTTGGAACCTGAAAACACAGAACACAGTAATATTACTTTCTCCTGTTCAGAATGAAAATACATCCGCTTAAACTCAATGTAAGCTCAGACTGAGAGAGGTGCTGACCTTTGCGCAGGGTGTGTGGACTGTGCTCTGTGGAGTGGGGGGACTGGCTGCTGCTCTGAGGACTGCTGCTGGGAGGGACCGTTGGACCTGCCACCTGGATGGCTTTGTGTCCAATTACAGGGGAGAGCTCTTTACTCTTCAATGAACTGAAAAAGACAAGCAGACATTAGTGTGCGAATACCATCAGACATATTTACAATCTGAACTGTCAGTATTCCTCATGTACATTGCCACCACCATGACCATCATCATTTATGAGTGTGTCACTACTTTTAAGTTTGCTGTTACCAATGTTACCAAAGTTTACAGACCAAACAGTGTCACATCTTTTTAAACACCTTTTATATAAGAGTTTTAGGTACAAATGGTTCAGATAAGTCCCTAAAGTTTCAAATCTTGCTGCATGTTCAAACAATAGATCAATTACTAGTACTGAGCATCTAGTTTTGTGCTTTTCATTGATGAAAATATGATTGATCACCCAGGGATTGAGAATGTCAATATATCTATTTCTTAGTGAAATAATGAAGTTAGATGGCATTGTTAACAAACAGATGCTGCCTGACAAACCCAGTGAACATTTCTAAACATTTCACCAACATTCAGATGGATACAATAATGATGTGTTAGTTATAAAAAAAAAAATCACAAATTTCAATTAGAATAAAAAAGAGAAAAAAAAAGTATTTCCTCTTAGTAGACTCAGAACAAAAGCTTAGTGATCTGAACCAAGGTAAATTTATGGGGTTGAATGACTGAACTACAGCTCAGCTGGGGTCTGAAGTGAACTCACAAGATTCCAATCTCAGGATGGATTCCTGACCAAAACGCCACTGAGCTCGATAGAATTCTTTCCAGCATTAACGAACAGAGGGTCTACATATTAGTAGTAGAAGTAGCATTATAAATGTTCATACATTAACTGTCTTAAGCATTAATCTGATTTCTACACAATATGAACAGTTGTGAAGAGGCAAAGAAAATAGATCAGAGATCTGCATGTGACAAGATACATCTAAACCTACTTTACGGTACTGCAGGCAACAATGAAGACAGAAAGCGCACCTAATCAAGAACCAACTTTATGCACCCTCGCTCTGAAAACAAACTGCATGAGCAGTCAATAAACATTATTAATTGATTCAACTTCTGTATAATGATGCCAAAATCCATACATATATTCTTTAAGTTTAAGCAAACTTCAGTGAAGTTAAAATGATGTTATATAAGACACCAGAAATGGGAATATCATTTCATGTATCGTATATTTTTTCCTTGCTTTTTCATTTTAAAACACAAACATTATATTTTAACCTGCTGTAGTTTATCTGAATTTATCTGCAGCAAGGATGCATTCAATGATATGAACTAGTATAGCTGCGAATACAAGACTTAGCTCATGAAGTCTCACCCACAAGGAGCACCGATACTGCAGTATCGTAGTCGCATTTAGGATTATGTGACATCTAATTAACTGCAATCTCCTGCCGTTCCTTTGAGCTGTGTGCCCTCCAACAAATACGCCATCTGAATGGGAAATCGTGGAGCTACCGAATCACAAGAGGGAGCATTATCAAGGGAGCTTGTTCTGACTGCTGACAAAGATTTGCTGTAATGATTCATGCTGTCCTGTGCGATTGTAACACCAAAGACTTATGACTCAGGAAACTGCCACAGTCACTCTATACAAACTCAGCAGCTTAGATGTAGCAGGAAGATGTTTATGCTATATGGAGATATTCTATACTGTAGCTTCCACGACATTAACTGCAAACAAGGCACTACATTAATAAGCTTGAAAATCTTTGCTGGGATGTTTTCCTTCTGCTGGTTGCTAAAAAAAATTGCTGCAAACTGTAGAATAAATACATTCATATGCTATGTGATAGCCATATGCAGCATTGTTCATGTATTTATCGTCTACTCAATACCAGCATCAAACCGAGCGCTATATAAGCCAGTAACATCCTTAGTTGCTAGGCAACCCCATGAGAGGCATCCCCGGACAACCTGAATGTTACAGAATCTGAGACATGTAATTTGAAGGGGGAGGGAAAAAAAGCAAAAAGAAAATATGAGCCAGCGAGCTAGAGGAGAGGAGAGATACAGCTGCCACTCTGTGATGCATCCATAGTGGCCATGGGTGTGTTGTATTTACCTAGTCAGCCTGGGGGGTCCTCTCTCTCGGGCACATGGACAGGCAGCCCACGGCGGGGGCGGGGGTGCGGACGAGGGAAGGCTAGGGGGGTTGCCAAGGGACTGGTCATGGCGGGTTAGTACCAAGGGGGTTTTGATGTAGAGTGGTGAAGCATTAGTGTCTGGCGGGGGGGCATGCGACATGTCACCTGGCGGACTGTGCTTGGGGAAGTGCAGACAGCTGGGTTTGGGGTTTGAATTGATGTCAAGCGACGAGGAGGAGGAGGAGGAAGAAGAGGAAGGGGGCGGGGCCGGGGGAGTGAAGCCAGACCAGCGCACTGGGGTGGGGGTGAGCCGGGGGCTGGACTCTGGACCGGTGCCACAGGGCGAGCGCAGGGTGGGGGTTTGGGATAGAAGTGGTGGGGGAGAGTGTGGCACGAGGAGGTGGGGTAAGGGGGGGGTGGCCGGTCCTCCCCTGGGGGTGGGTGGGCATGAGAGGTGTCCGGCCGATTGGGCGACACGTTGTCTGAGCTGTAGATATTAAGAGAATAGACAGCACAAAAGAAACAGCTCTAGTGATTGAACAGGGAGACGCATTGGAGCGATATAGGAGAAGCTGTTTTGATGATTAGGGTGTTAGTGTGTTAGTTGGTCTGTAGCCAAAAACAGAAGAAAAAAAAAAGAAAAAATTGCATTTTACGGTGGGCGGTGGGCACCAAGCTTAGCACACAGTCAGCTTAGTGCAAATACAAAGACAAGCACAAAGAAACAGCAAAAGAAAAGAAAGTTTTATTGCCAAAGGAAAAGAATAGAGTGTGTAGAACTCCCTCTGTGATCACCTTGTGTCTGCACACTGCATGGAGCTGTGAGGATCTGTCTCTGGAGCCAAAGTGCTGGTCTGCAGCTTACAATGTTATCAAGCTGACCTGATGACTGAATCTCCTCAACTGCTGCATATGGAAACCCTATCTGCCCTAATCCTCTAAGACTTGTTTGCATTGCAGGTCCTGCAGTCAGCCCAGGGCAGTGTGAAACAGACACAAAACCCTTTCATTGGCTGAAAGAGCCACAGGAGAGGAGGGGAAAGCCAGCCAAACCAGAAGCCATATTATCTCTTGTCTGCCACACAGGCAGAGCCAGCGACCATGAGGTGATTATTCATATGTTTAACTATGATAATCATACCAAAAAATGATGAAATCAGTCTGAGTGTCAACAGAAAAGGAAATAATTCACGACCAAAGCTGAGATAGCCAAGCCACAACAATGGGATATTGGAAATATTAGCATGCTCGCAAGGACTTGCAGATTGAAGCTTAGTGCCATGTACAGAAACAAAACTTCCATACAGTATTTCGACTAAAACCCTTCAGAGTTAGAGTCAAAAATGTCATTATCCTTTTGAAAATTTAACCCACAGTGACATCTCCCTGAAAAAACAGGAGAAACTGAGGAAATGTCGAGAGTGGGAAATCATATTAATAACAACAGAAAGAGACATGAAGGTGCTGACAGAAAGACACCAAAAAGAACATGGAGGCGTTGCAAATTAATGAATGTATAATTAACACGGCAAAGGATCTTGATCCCACAGAGCTGAGAAGTCGATGATGGTGATGATGATGGTGATGGCAATAAAAATGAGAAGGAGTGGATGCGTGAGGGAGAGAGAGAGCGGGGGGGTGGGGGGGTGGGGTGTCGGCAGCGTCTCTGTGGTGACTTACCAAAACCTTTCTCCAGGTGGCGGTGTCGCCGACGGCGAGGTGGCGAGCTCTCCAGGCTGCTCGGGGATGAGTGTGTCTGCGGGAGAGCCGGGGCCTTGCATGCCTGGAGGGGTGGAAGAAGCCTTGCGTGCCAGTGTGGATGAACCTTTACGAGACACCCAGGAGGTATCCATAACCCGGACTCCCATACTGGAGACAAACACATATCCAGAGTCATATATGATGATGAGAGAAGCGAGGCGAGGCGAGTGGGCGTAGTGAGGAAAGAAGTGGGGAAAAAGGCAAGATACGGTACCTTTGTATCTTCCTAATGCTGCGTTAGTTGGGGAGAAGAGAGGCAAAAGGGATATGAGGTCAGAAGTAATGCAGACATGGTTCACAACACCACATTTAAACCACTCTACACACACTAAGCCTGCACTTTTCTGCTGAGCACCAACGAAAGGCTTGTTTTTTCTAATTAAACCTGTTTGGTTTTGGAAATATACAAACACACAGACAGAGCTTTTCTCCTCAGCTGCTCATTACTCCGAGTAGACAACAGCTATTTTCTATCACCCTATAGCGCTGGCCGCTGGTTATGGGATGTGATAGGCTTTTTCTTAATTTGATGGGGGTATTTTGAAGGCATCGGTTCTAATTCTGCCAGTGATTTTCCACCGGCTGGATGAATGACTCAGGCCAGGTGACGTGCTAGCCAGACTGTGAAGGAGGAGCTGGGTGTGGGAGGATGGGGAGATAGCACTGGAGAAATATTTCCTGAGAAAAAAAAAAAAAAAAAAAAAAGAAAAGAGGTAACCAGCAGCCCTCCATCGGAGACATGTTGCCATAGAGACAACGCCACTCAAGGCAACTCAGCCCCATGTATTCAAATGAGACTAGTTTTCTGCCCCCCTCTTCTCCTGATGAATCCATCTAATAGGGGATGTAGTTGTATGCGCTGGAATTATCGACAGGTGAGATGTACGGTAAGATCCTCACCGCTTCTGATTCACTGGAATGAAAACTTCAGATTGCAGTATGTGTAAATACTCCGCCTAGGTAATGGCTTTTTAATGTGCAAGTATTGCCCTCTTCAAATATGAGAATTCAATATCAGATGCCTGAGAGGAGGCGTGGGTGGAAAGAGAGAAATAGGGTGAGAGAGAGAGAGAGAGGGGGAGGGAGGGAGAGGTGGGCAGCAGAAGGATGCACTTGGCGTCATACCCATCCTTCTTGTAAAACTCCAGCATCATGTTGTCAGTGGCGACGCTCAGTGGGCGTCGGCTCTGGTCGTGCTGCTGCTTGCGATCAGATTGGTCCATGTCTGGTGAGGGCATGGAACTGTAGTTGGAGTTGTGGTTGGTGTGGATCGGGCTGCCATAACTGCCTGTCAAGTTGAATTCAATCTCTGAGGGAGAAGCAGACACACCATCAGCATACAGTATGTTGTAGTCACAGCATTGTTTAGGAGTGTGTGTGTTGTGAGGGCACACAACTTCTCTGGGAAAGTTTAGGAATATTATGCTATGCCACCTAAAATAGAGGAAATCCTGATTTAAAAACTGAATATTGCATATTCATATAGGGCTGAGCAAAAGAAAAAAAGAACTCACAATAACTGGAAGACTTCTTCTGAATTTGTATTTGAAGGTTATATCAACTAATTGTAATAAAAATGCACATTTCAAACTGATGTTCAGTAGACATTATCCGGTCAATAACCATTTGGAAGAATTCTTAACAAATTTGATCAAATTGTGAGCCAGTAATCTACAGGATATATATACCGTACATATAGCTCAGCCCGACTACACTTTTACATACATAGCATGCGATCCCCACCTCCAGGGAAGAACCAGTCAGCATGCTGGATGATGGGCTCAATGATGCCAACAATCTGTAGGGACAGGGTGGTCATCATCTCTGTCATGTTTCTGGAGAGAAGAGAAAGGAGAGAGCCACAGTATAAACATTATGTAATAGGGTGAGATAAAAATAAAACTGGGAGAGAATAATTCCACACGATTTGTCTTCAGAATACATACGGCTCAGTGTGTGTCCAGAGCAGGTTAGGGCCGAGGACGATCGCCATGTTACCAGGAGTCATCTTATTTGCATCTTGATACTCACTCAGCTTGGCTAAGAATTTGATTAGATATCTGTAGGATCCAAATGAAAGATTGCATCATAAAATCTATTTTTAACCTGTTTACTCATTTTCTGCTGACTCCACGGAGCTGATAATTGTAATGATTAATTGCTGTTTCTTCACATATTTAACTGACTCACAAACTTTCAGGCAGCAGATGCTGAACAAGGCAGAGCTGGTCAGTTAGATCATCATATTTTGACACATCCCAGCCTGTGCCATCTACTGTATAGGAAAGTAATAGCAGCAGCAGTTTAAATCTGCAGACATATTGATGTTCATGAAACCAAGAAATTAATAGCTGCTTCAAATTTAAAACTTGCAAACCTGCAGACAATAAGCTGTGAAAGTCATTATCTGTAGCGTCAATATTGCAGCAACCATTAATTTCTTTGCCTACAACTGGTGACACATGAATATCTGCATTTCAAACCTGCTTCTGCTGTGACTTTTCTTACCTGTAGGTGGGGCAGGTTGGAGTGAAACCGCAGGGCAACTTCCGTCGCTTCTCTGTGTTTTTATAACAGTTCGGCCACGTGGGGGCATTTACAAATAACTGGATAGAAAATCAGGGAAAGCAACTGACCTGAAATTGTTCAAGTTGTCTGTGGGGAGTTTTTCACATGCTGCCATTAGTGCTTGTAGTCTCTTGTCCATATCTTGAATGCTGAGGAAATAAAAAAAAAAAAAAATCATTATGGTTTAGGGTTGCTCCACTTCCAAATAAATGTCACCATTTTTCATTCTGGCAGTTTAGGCCCTCTGTATAAAGACTTTGGACTATTTTCTGTTTTTTCCATCATGGCCAGCGGCATAATTCAAGAAAATGCTTTTAATAATAATAATAATATAAAAAAGAAAAAAACTCACTTGGAGGCCTGAATCCATTCATCATATAGTTCAGTGGTCATCAATGGCTCGGGGAGCTCACGGAGGTATGATTTCAGAGCGCCTGTGGGTGAAAACAACAGCGAGAGCGTAAACACTGGTCAGCTTTTGGAGAGGAGTGGAGGGTTGTTTTCTCTCTTCAGAGTACTGGTGAGGCCATGCCCTGTATCTCTACTCCCCTGTAGCCAGGCCCTTAGAGCTAGTGCAGCCGCCAGATTGAGATTGCTCAACACAGATTGCAAGCTAATGTGTGAAGTGGACAGCAGTATCACATCAGAAAGCCTTCAGGACAACAGCGCTCATGTACAAAATCAATCCAAAAACTTTTGTATGGTACAATCGAACTTTCCACCTCATAAGAAAACATTGCAGACGTTGAGTAATAATCATTGCTATTTACATAGAGATATTATACTGTTTTTTCCCCCCTGACTTACATTGACAGAGTGTAGGGGTTGTTGTTATGGAAATGGGCTCTGAACAAAGCATTTGTGTGGGCGTAGTTCACCTGCGATGGCGTGCGGGTCGGAGGAGTACTCCTGCACATCCAGAACTCCGCAGTCCAGGGAGGCTTTCAGCTTCTTCAGCTTGGAGGCTGACGGAGCCACTCTGAAGAGACCCTGCAGCCCACACACAGGAAACACATAATCATGTGTAATTATAAGATCTAACATGACCTGTGCAGAAATGCTGTACAAAAGCAATAAGCCTCTATTGCTGTGCACTTGACATTGGTAGATGATAAATAACACAGGTTGGTGCTAGAGCTTTTGCATGTTTAGAGTCCATTAACTACAGAACATGAAGGCTATACTTACACTTTATTACTGTCAACCAGTTTTCAAAGCATATCAAAGCATTTCAATTGGTCTAACTGCCACAAACATATATGACCATCGTCAGTCTCGGGCCGCAAGACATGCCAAAAAAAATCATATTGCAATTAGTGTGGCAGATATTGCGATATGTGATTACAGTTGGAATGGCCGTTTTTGCATTTCATTTTCACAGAAATGTTTTTAAAAAGGTAATGATGTGATTTTTGTTGGGTCTTGTACCAAACAAACATGTTCCTTTACATGTGGAGAATATGATTAGTAGGCCGGGGCATCTATGTAGCACCATAACGCTTATGGTGCTAACAATGCACAACAGTGTTGTGACATTTTTCACCATATTTACCATTTAATTGCAGCTCCTGCGATTTGGATATTGCACTTGGCCATATTGTGATTTTGATCATATTTCAATTAATTGTGCAGCCCTACCCCAGTCTCACAGCCATTGCACTGTTAGTGCTTATATTTCTCAATATTAAAATCGCACTGTGTTGTTTCCTGTTCCAAAGATGTTGCTACTTGTCCTCTCTCTATTTCCACAATATAATTACATTTTGTCCAGTCTAAGCTGTAAGAGTCTTTTCAGTCTGACAAGATAAGATAAAATCAGGTTTTAACTATTTTCTAAATATTGGAGGAACCAGCAGCTTTCTTCTTCTTTACGACAGTTATTCAATTTTGTCAATTTTACTAATGACATGAAATGAACATGTTGTTTTTTAATTGACTTTGGCACAGTTATGGAATGCATTTTCATTTGAGTGTGTATGTGTACATACATGTGCACTTGCCTGCATGTATGCATGTCTGTGTGCAAGTGTGATTGGTTTCAAGGTTATCATATCAAATAGAGAGACTGATGACAAACCAGAGTTTCATTGTGAGGAATCAGGTGTGTGTAACGGACTCATGCACAAAACAATACAACGAAAAAATGCATATTTGCCTACATGTAAAATGCCTATGTGATGTGTATATCCGTGTGTGTGTGTGTGTGTGTGTGTGTGTGTGTGTGTGTGTGTGTGTGTGTGTGTGTGTGTGTGTGTTTGTGTTGCCCTCTACCTCCTCTTGCATGCCACACTCTAACAGCATAGTGACACAGGCCTCGATGGGGAAGGCAATCTCTCTCCCACTAATATTCAGGTGTTCCTCCAGAGACTTGCCAAACGACGGCTTCTCCACCCACGCCTCTGCAACACAAAACAGCAGCTTGAATGGCACACAGACACAAACAAGCCTACACACTGCAGTTGGATGACTTAAGGCCATAGACTGTATATAAAGTTTGGGGACACTATTTGTGAGAACCTTTATTGACAAAATTCAGGAACTGAGTCCTTTCAAGGTAAAGATTTCAACATTATATATCCTCTGGTGTTTATCAGGAGAGTGTGTTATTAAAGCCCTCTGTTTGGTTTTTGCATGTGTAAACTAGCTATATCTAAAATATGAAGATGGATAATTAGAGGTTAATGAGATTGTTAATGTGACACGTCAGGGCTATTAACTCCATTACTTCTCATCCTGATTTTCTTCAGGTGCAGAAATGGAGCAGATCTCTCTCTCTCTCTCTCTCTCTCTCTCTCTCTCTCTCTACACACACACACACACACACACAGTGCATGACTCACCTTGGTGAGCTTTAATCTGGGGCAGGACACTGTGAAGAATCTCTAATGACTTCCTGTGATATTCTGCCTGTGTTTCTATCAGCTACAGAGGGTGACAGCAGGAGAAGAGATTATATCAAACAATCCATGACAAGTGTGTGGGATACAATATAATGCAAGTTATGCTATTAGACCACCCACAACATTTGATGTAATCTGAGCTAATATAGGAAATTACTATTTCAGATACTGTGCAAAAATGCAGTATGATGTATTTTCCCACCCAGTTCACAACTTTAATGATGTAATATACTTACTGTCTGGAAGTAATTTGCATAGTCGATTTCTTTGGCCACAAAATTGTACATATCTGCTGACAACTGATCCTGAAACAGAAAGCAGAGAGCGAGCACCTTTTAAGAAACGACCTCACTAAAGTCCTACATGTAATTGTAATATCCACCCGCCAATGTGGTCCATTTGTTTATGATACATGCAGGGGCGTTATAAATCAAATGGACGACAAAGGAGCTAGAGGAGAGAAGACTATCCAAATGGCTCTGATTGGTGACTCACCCTACAAATCTCCATCCGATTGGCTGACTCTTCCATCTCCTCTCTGAGGGACTCGGACTTGGCGCCAGGCTGCAGAGTGCTCGGGTGACTGGATGACTTGGCTGACTGCTGATATCTATGGGCAATAAAAAGGGCACTGCATTGGATATGCCATGCTTCCAGCGTAGATGGAGATAAAGCCTGAGTCTTTATTTTAAAAATAAATGAACATGGGGAGGTCTTTTACCTTGTCCGTGCGGAGTCCATGTCCAAGACAAGTTTAGCTAAGTGCTTCCTCTGTTTCTGGATGTTGGGAATGTCCACCTACAAGAAGAAAATTGAGTAGAGGATTACAGAGAGCTCAGGGAATTAGAGTGCAGCCTCTTTATGTAAATGAAGACCATATTCTGCTTGTAATTTTGTGTTAATAATGGTGGAAATAAAAAAAAAGTGACAGAGAGCAGCTCTGTAATTCAGTTATATCAGGAAGGTGTTATGTCTTAATTGGTGCATTAAGTAACACCAGTGAACCTCACCTCAGCAAGCACATAGAGAGGCTCCACCACATCTCTCTCTATCTGGAACTCAAACTGGATGAGCTCCTGCGCCAACTTCTCTTCCGTCTCCCCACACAGCTTCAGCATCTTCCTGTTTGGTGACAGCCCAACACAAAGTCAGAGGCAATCAAATACAATTAAAATGCAGACAAGGGTAATGAGGACAGAGAGGAATTCAATAGCCAAATCAATAATTAAAGATGACTCTGTGTGCACGTGTGTGTGTGTGTGTGTGTGTGTGTGTGTGTGTGTGTGTATGTAAGTGAGGGAGTGTGAGCACAGGCTTGTTAACTACAGTGACTTACCCCAGGAGAGAGTCATCTCCCAACACTGCAGCCCCTTCTACCATACACTGTGCCAGGATTGTGAGCGGTAGTTTTTTCTGATAGTACAGAAAAATAACATTACTAGAGCTTCTGTGAGGGCTGTAAAAGACTATGAGTAAAGTTATGTTGCATTACCGCACATCACATCCCATCTATTTGCATTAGTTGTCAGTGTATGATGAATACAGGTACTCACAGAAGGTGACTTGACAGATCTCTTCTCCACATCAGTTCCCTGCTGACCCTGCAGGCAGGCAGTCAGCTTCTTGTGAGTGCTGTGTGTCACCTGCTTGACCAGATCCAGACGCTTCTCCACCTGCAAGAGCGCACACATGCACAAACACACACACACACACACACACACACACACACACACACACACATCAAAAACCGCATTGGTACACCCCATGTACTACCACAGACACAGCACTGTTCAACAACACATCTGTCATTTGTCATGCAGCATCATAAATCTCCACCTTTGACATACAACAGAAGTTATGTACATGCACAGAGGTTGTACTCCTGGAGATATAATATAATATAATTATAATTATATAATACCATTTTTTTTCCAATGTTGACGACCCAAAATAAGCTATTTTAAGTTTAAATAATAAATAGTTGCAGCCATTACAGGCTGTAGGAAAGAAGAAGAAAAGCTTGTTTTGATATAAAAACCTGTTTAATTTTTCTGAATGTTTGCTTTTTCCTAGTTTAATACCGGAGAATACCTCTCCCCGCCTCTGAATATAGTTCAAATGAGACAATATAGGAGGTAGAATCACTTTTTTAATTGAGCTGCCTACAGACATATGAAACCACTGAAAGTTGCAAGTTTCCTTCACAGTTAAACACAGCCATCATAATCACATCATTTCCACCTGTTAAAAAAAAATAGCATGAAGAACGAAAGCACTAACAGACCATCAGTTAATCAAACACCTGGTTCACACACACACACACACACACACACACACACACACACACACACACACACACACACACACACACACACACACACGCACACACACAGCTCTTACCTGTAGAAGGTCCTCGCTCAACACTTCTGTTTTTTCTGCCCTGTAAAGAAAACAGTGTGCAACAGTGTTAGAGAATCCAGAGGACGAGACAACAGTCAATAAACTTTGTAAACTGCAAATAAGCAATAATGCATACATATGTTTCTGTATTGAACTTCATGCAGCTCTGAGTATTGATAAGGTCAGGAAAAACAAAAACTGTCACAGGGATTGAATTTGTTAATATATCCTCTTTGAGGTCACATAACAAGCTACATAGCCTGTGAGGCTCAATATCACAGATTTCTGAGAGTACATTCCTCCCAATAGACGTAAAAAAAATCATGTCCTATTGGTAATTATTCTGCTTACTAATATGTGGGAAAAGTGAAATATTCTGAAGAACACATGAAGAAATTACATCTCGCATAATGAAACACTTTTTATTAGTTCATGATGACGTGTTTATTTTATTTCACTCTCATGTACCCAAATGTATTTCATAATGGTGAGTCTTTGCCAAAATGTTTCTCAGTTGTGAAATAAGGACCCAGCTGTTTTGCACTGGGTGTAAAGGTCTCATTCGCTGAGTTGTTGTAAATCATCAGAGTGGCACAGCTCCAAAATGGGCGGACCACATCCGTGCACCTGTCCCTTTGGAGCGTGTGTGTGAGTGTGTGTATGTGAGTGCATGTGTTTGTATGGCTGTCTTGATAAGTCTTGATCTTAGATGATACATAAGAACAACATGTTAATTATCTAGCAAACTATTCATGCTATAAACCCTCTGGAGAGCTCCGGCACAAGCATGAGTGAAACTAGAAGGACAGCAGTGAGCAAAGGCCACTGATTCAAATATGCCAGTTCCCACTGAGGAGCATCGCATCCCACTGTGAATCCAGCAGACTGGGGACTTAGCCAAAGTCTGACGGAAAGGGCAGAGCTGCACTGCCGATGAAGCAGATAAAACTACTCATGCAGAGTTGCGATTGAGCCATAAGCTCACAAAAGAGCAAACCACTGTGTATCATAGAAATATGGTGTCAGCTCAGTTCATACAGCTTATAGTCAAAGATTTTAGTCCTTTTTCTTTGCTGGAGGAGAAACCACAAAAGAGCTCGACTAACAGCTTTGAGAATCCTGCAAGAAAAGATGAAGTAGGAAAATTGTCTCTCTGGACTGCATATAATACAAGTGAATTTTGGCTGTTTTCCAGAAATTGTTTTATGAACATATTTGGACACTTACACATACAACACACAACAACAATCCAGGACCTATTAGGAGGTACCTAATCAGAACGGAGGATAACATGTACTTCCTGCTTAGAAAAAGGAGCTATAGTCTGAAAGGGCAGGGAGCGATTGAGCAGACGGTCTGACCTCTTGAAAAGAGTCAAAACCAGACCTGCGGACCCCCAGCAGCCACCCAGTGGTGCATATACTCTCTCAGCACTTCCCCTTCCTGTCTGCACAACCTCTTCCTGCTATTGTGCCCTAACCATGCCAACGCCAATTGCGAATAATAGCGTTTTTTGTATCATTTATTTAAAAAAAATATCTGAATGTATCTCTCCATTGACTAAGAGAATGGAAAAGACCTCGGTTTGTTCTATCATTCACCAGCCAGACAAAAATACATCAGCGGCACATAACTAAAATGCTCTTTTCATGTAAGACGCCTTGTCACCACATCTGTTAAATACATAATCCGGTGCCACAATTTTGGAGAAAATGCAGAGAGGATACAGACATGGGTCTGGTTAACGTTGACATGAAGTTGTGTACACATATTCCATACATTGTTGCCAACAACAGAAAGCTGAGCTTTAATGATGTCAGTTATTAGCATCCCTGCCCTCAGTGCCAAGATGTGAGCATGGAGCCATGGGAACTGGGTCAAACCATGTACCAATGGATCTAATCACAGCCAGCCTCTTGGAAAACTGCTCTGCCCACTGAGCTAGGAGGAAAATACAGGAAATGTGTGTGTGTGTGTGCATGCCTCAGAGAGAAAGAGAGAGAGAGAGAGAGAGAGAATGACACTGGAGTGAGAGATTTCTGGCATGATTTGTGAGGATAAGTGTGATCGCAGATTGCTGATTACATGACAAAGGGGGACAAAAATAACCCAAGCAGTGCAGTAAAGTTTGGCTCAGTTCTGTTGCAACACTCCCAACAGCCTCTAAAAACCTCTAAAAACTCCCATGTTCTATATGAAAGATGTTGCAAACAGGACTGTCATATGTATTTCATGCTGAGCGTGTAGCCTGGAGGTCTGCAATGCAGCTGTGAGCTTGTCACTGTCTATCATGGCCTCAGATTGGCTGGTTGAGGTGTCCCTTGGGAGACGCTGGCAGCGGAGGGACCCTAAGAAGGGCCCAACAGGACAGAACAGATGGGACAGGAGCTCCGGCAGAGACAGGGAATGTGGAGAAGCCACTCTGTCTGTGATGTTGATGGCAGAGATAGATGAACAACCCGTGAGGCTCTCTGGCCTGGCAGTCTGTGACGGGAGCTCTGCTGAAAAGCTAAAGCCAACATGCTTTATTGAGATTACAACAGCTGCACGTGCTAGAAAGTTTTAAAAGCGTGGGATGATCCTATTCCTACCACTCTTTCTGTGTGTCTCCAATGTATGTTTGAGTGAGGGTGGGCTTGAGGTAACGTGCACTCTGAGAGTAGAGGTTGGTAAAGAACACATTAAGTAAACTGCATTTCATGTTTAAAACAAGCTGATGAACATTTAACACACAGGCATCTACTACTCTCACTCTCAACTAATGTGGCCATTATGACCTGGACATCAAACAGATTGTAGCCTATCTTCAAAGGCAGCAGAGGGTCTTGTTTTTTGAGCTTGTTTGTTTTCAGACAGTGGTATTTCCTCTTAGGAAAGCAATATCATACATCACCGGCCTGTGAAGACAGAGACAAAATAGCATCGCCCAGGCTGGAACACAGAGGTTATTGCTTGACCCTGTAGAACCTGATGTAAAGTTAACTTGAAGGAGATTTTTGGAGGTGATGAGAGAGAGATTCCTCTAAGCAAATAATGTGCAGAATGAGTCCTGGGAGGAAAGTAAACACGTGGGAGAGTTGGCAGCCGTGTGGGCGGTGTGCTCACGGAGGGGGAAGAAGACTTTGCCAGGTTTATGCCAACCATCTGCCACTTTGCAGGCATTCCTTTACCTGGAGCTGCTGATGACTCAATACAAACAAGCACGTACTGACACACACACACACACACACACACACACACACACACACACACACACACACACACACACACACACACACACACACATCTATAAACACACAGATGAACAAACTAAAGTCAAAATGCTGAAATGTATCATAAGCTTTCAGGGCAACAAATACAAAATAATAAAAAAAAAAAAAACCCTGTTTGTTCCGATGATACATCAGTGACAAGATCTACAAATCAGCGCAATGTAAACATGGCCGACCGCAGAGACTTCAGGAAGATGAATTAGATGAGACAATATTTAAACAGAGCAATCAACTGTCAGATTTTGAATAACTCCCTCTACACCTCTGGTGGCAACATTAACAAAGTGCTGATAAGAAGAAGGGCCTGAATCTGTTGAGGACATCTGGGCTTGTGTATTTACAGCTGGCCAAAGAGAGATGCGATTTTCCTGCGCATATTTTCCCAGGGATTTTAGACATTCCAACATTGTAATTCCATAAAGTTTGGAGTGAAATGTGTACCAAATACCCAACTGACCATTTCAGCTGCACATTCCACACAAATGTGTCTTATATAATAAATATTTCTATCTTGAGATATATGGTAATGTTGGATGGCCGCATGTTCAGCCCCCCAGCACTGTGCATGGTTTATAAAAGCATGAATAATACATGTCGACATAATCAAAATATGAAGAAAATAACATCCGCCGTCTTGAACATATTTGGCAGCTAGTCAACTGTCAGCTGCAAAGCTTTCAGTTTACAGGTTCATCTGAGATCTGACTGAACAAAAAAACAAAACAAAAAAAAAAACAGTGGTCATGCTCTGGTTTGCTCACACAGCTAGCCTTGCTAACAAAAGTGCTTCCTCTGAGCCCTGGAAGAGCTGTGCTAAATGCTAGGCCCTGTGCTGCTATAGGGGAGGGTACTGGAGCAGAATGGTGGCCCTGGGCCTCAGCAGGGTACCACACGGCCTGGAGCGCTGGCATGAGATCCACAGTCAACCACACACACACAGTCACAGAAACACACACACACAAAAAAAACCTTACACAGCAGTGTTCATGCTAGAGATGCTCTGAATATTTCTCGAATTAATGTTTTTTTTTTTTCTTCAGACCTTTGCAGAGCCAATGCATCTAGAGGCCCACTCGGTTTCCTCCCAAATGACAAGACGGAGGGCTGATGGGATACAAGGTTACTAAAACAGAAAAACCCACTTACTGTAGTTGTCCAGCAAACTAGGTCACAGTTCTGTTAAGTATGCAAGAATAACTGTGAGAGGAGTGTATGCACACACACACACACACACACACGCACACACACACGCACACACACACGCACACACACAAGCGCACACAAGCACACGCACACAAAACACACACATGTCCAGAGAGAGAGTGAACGAGAGAGGGCCTGCAGCATTCAGCAGCGTTTCACTGGAAACACAAGCAGTGAGTTATATCTAATAACTTTATTTATGGTGAATAATCTCCACAAGAGGCACTCTGCTCTCTCTGTGACTTCACTGTGTTTTTACACTTGCCATCTGCCCGAGCACACACACACACACACACACTGAAACAACGTGACATGTCCAGAACAGAGCATCAAGTAGACAAAGAACTTAAACCGAGGCAATGAGTATCAATACTGTGCTCTATTTCCACCCAGGACATGCATGAAAACACCCTCACAAGCTGTCATTCTTTGTTAGTTCTAAAATCTTTCTCTCCGCCATTTTCACATGGGTTGGCAAAGCCAAACGAATGTGATGAAACGGCTAATACGAAATGAGCGTTTCCAGGCAACCAAAGCAAATGATAGATTTTACATCCACTGTATA